TTGAGGTGTGTCTGGCATAGTATACTGTGCACATATGCCATGTCTTTCCAGGAACTTAGCAAATGGACCGAGATTTTGTCTCGATTCATCATACCTTCCATAGTATTCACCACCTCTATCAGACCGTACTATTTTCACCTTTCTGTCTAACTGCCTTTTAACTTCATTAATGAAAACCTCAAGTGCATTTGCAGCTTGAGATTTTTCCTTGAGCAGATAGACATAATAATAACGTGAAAAATCGTTGATAAAGGTAATGAAGTATTTTTCTCCATTGAAGGATGAAGCATCAAAAGGTCCACATATATCGGTGTGTATAATTTCAAGAAGCTGACTGCTTCTTGTGGCTCCTTTCTTGTTATGTTTGGTTTGCTTTCCCTTAATGCAATCCACACACAACCCAAGATCGGTAAAATCTAGATCCAAAAGGATCTCATCTTTCACCAACCTTTACATTCTTTCTTTGGATACATGACCCAAACGTTTATGCCACAAGAAAGCAGAGTTCTCATTTGCTACACCACGTTTAATTCCAATGTTTTGATGAACACACATTAAAGATGCAGAAAAATCAACATCAAGTTTCAGTTTATATAAACCATCCATAAGAATTCCAGAACCAATAATGGAATCATGTTTATCAAACAAACTGAAACATCCATGTCCAAACTTAAAGGAAAACCCAAGAACATCAAGTCTAGAAAGAGACATTAAGTGTCTAGAAGATGAAGGTACATAGAGAGTTTGCAAAAGATCCAGGTGGTGCCCGGAATCTAAAACAATACAATAAGTCCCTATGCCTTCAATTGGGGCCTTCATACGGTTCCACATGAACAAGAAGTTCTCATTTGGGTTTATGCTCTGGATTGTAAGAAATCCCTGCATCACATTAGAAACATGAGTTGTTGCACCAGAATCCAACCACCATGTATTTGAAGGAACTTCAGACAAGTTTGATTCGAAACATACAAAGATATTAGAAATACCTTTCTTTTCAAACCAAGACTTGCGTTTCAGGAATCTTTCTGTATGTGACCTTCTTTCTTACAGAAATAACATTTTTTTGCCTGATTTTCCTTCTTTTCATCATTAGTGACCTGTGAAACTTTAGCAGGTCCCTTCTTCTTAAACTTGTTGGATTTTGGTTTGAGAACATTATTAGCTCCATGACCCACAAGGTTGACCGTATGAACTCCTTGTGCCTTAAGCCTCGTCTCCTCCTGAACAAGCTTACTGGCCAATTCATTAATATCCCACTTATCCTTAATAGAGTTATAGTTAATTTGAAATGGTCCATATTCAGGAGGCAACGAGTTAAGCATAAATTGCACCAGAAATGAGTCATCAACAGTCAAGCCCAGGGACTTAAGCCTTGCTGCAAGATTACTCATGTCAAGAACATGTTGCTGCATACTTCGCGACCCATCATACTTTTTGGTCGTGAGTTCAGTCATAAGTGTTCCTGCCAATGACTTATCCGCAGAACGAAAACGCTCTTCCACAAGCAAAAGGTATGCTTTCGCATCCACATTATCGGGAAGAGTTAACTTAATGTTGTTGGCAATCGTCATTCGCATAAAGCTCAAACATAATCTGTTAGACCTGTCCCAAGCCTTACGGTTTGATTTTTCAGCCTCACTGCTTTGATCAGTAATGTCAGCGGGCTTTTCTTCAAGCAGAGCCTAGTCAATATCCAAAACACCTAAATCGAAATTGGCCTGCTCACGCCATTCAGAGAAATTCAAACCATTGATGACAGTATCAGAAGAAGCTTGCGAATGAAGAGAGATAGCTGCACAATCATAAACGCTCACTTAATTAATAGATTCAGAAAATACATTCATCACATATATTTCAGGTCTCCTTTGGGTAAACACACAGTATATATCATTATCATAAGTCGAATGTCATTTAGCACTTAATGAGAAATTAAATAAACTTCGTCTAACATACATAGTATCTTTGGATATCTACATACGTTCGACAAAAGGATATTATATTTCTCCTTTATGTTTATTAGTTATAGAACATTGATTCACCTTTGGGTAAATCCATAACTTCTAACAACTCATTATCTTAAATAATGATATTCTTAAGAGAACATAAGTTATATGACCAAACTTTAGAAAATTAATTCGGCCACTTTGGTGAGTAACAAATTAATTTTCATCTTAATGTCATATAATAACAAATTATAACAATAATATTATATGATCGGACAGTAAAAATTAATTAGGCCACTTTGGTGACTAACAAATTAATTTTATCTTAATGTCATATAATAAAACAATTATAACGATAAAATTATATGACCGAACATTAAAATTAATTAGGCCACTTTGGTGACTATCTAATTAATTTTATCTTAATGTCATATAATAAATCATTCATGCAACATAATATATATTGTTTTAATTTTAATAAATAAGGTTTCATAACTTTCTGAAACAACAAACCAACATATATGGTCAAATTATGCTACCAAATCTTCACTTTCAGAGAAACAAGGTACCCATAATTTTAATTCTAGTATTTAAACAACACAAAACTCTTGATGCCGCAGTTAGATTTCCTTAATCTTTTGGCCCAGCAAATAATTCCAAGCAATTGGAATTCGTAAGTAGATATGCCAGATGTTGATGCGGAAATCACGAAATACATATACGCACTCAAACGTATTCATCATAAGCCATAACTTAATGCTTTCAATTGATGCGAACAATTTATGCACTCGGTTCGGCCAAAATATTCATTACGATCATACTCATGATTCACACAACAAATTATTTATCCACAACACATGCTTTGATACCACATTTAAACTTCATCAAAGATCTTGAATAAATAATTTAGTGTATTCGAAACACTTACTTGATGCAGAAGACTAACATAATTTGTGATCTTGGTAATCTTGATGATCACACGAGGTTGAATCGATTGGTAAATTGCGTACCCTAATAGGAGGAGAGATGACTAATTTATATAGGGGTGCTTCAAATCTGGTACGTCCATCAAATATCCAGATTAATGGCTTGGATTTGTTTTGACTATTAAATAAAGACCTAGCCCAATAGAATAATTAATTGTGAGTCCAATATTTTCGGGCCACATATTCTTACACAATGGACCCAAATGTCGTTTCGCAGGTTGATTTAATTAAGCCACATGGTGTAGGTTATTATTAAAATTGTAACGTACAGCATTAAACAAATTTTGGATTGGGTATATAATATTCCACAAATACTCCTTTAGATGTCACATTCAAATAGTAAACCAAATAAATACAGTGCATGCTATAAAAAGAAATATATAGAAGTATAGAACACAACATCATTAAGCAGCTTCCCGGATTTTGCTTATGGGAGTGTAAGTGTACATAAGCGTAAATTAAAATTTGTTGTCTGATTTTAATTTGCAGGTGAAAATGAAACAGGCTGTTGCTAATCTGTCATGCATGCAACTCTATATATCACGCGTTTTTTAGGGCATTCATTAATTGTCTTTATTTTTCATTTTATTTTCTTTTTTCTCTTTTTCGATTGTNATTTTGCAATTATATATATATATATATTCTTCTTTTTATTTTTTGGTGTGTGTTGGGCGTTAGTACGAGGGTTCATGGAAATTGTATATATTAAATTAATTTAGGCAAGCGGTGTATAGGGTACAAATATAATTGGTTTTAAATTTATTTACTTTCTCTAAAAGAAATTAATATCTTTATTTTTGGGAGATGATTAATTAGTTATAACATGGTAATGAAATGCGTAAGTCGCACCTCTTGTGACAATATGCCTTTCTACCACGTGTTGTCACACTTGACTATAACGAATTCATGAAAAGTAGCCAAATCACCTCTTCTTTCAGAACTTTTTCTAATTATTATGGATTTTTTTTTAAAAAAATAGTATCACAACTATAGCTATATCAATATTAATCACATTATGTTATAGTTCATCAATAGTAGTGTTTCCAAAATTGATCAAAAATTAAGGTGATTGTGGTGGACACGTGTTTCACTATAAATGATAACGTTCATGTGTCTTGTAAGTTGTAACTTGATACATCACGTTCATATGGCTTTTATTCTTTTCTTTCTAAAAATAGTTCCGTAATCCTGTAAATATTTCAAAAATAAATACATTGAACTTCAATTAATCAAAATTAATCTTGTAATTCTATAAGTTCTAAAATTTAAGAGGACCGAATGTGATATGATGTGTTATTTTCGGTAGGAAACGTAGAATTCCGACAAAAATATGTCCTTATTTTGATTAATTTTTTCAAAAACTAAAAGAAGACTTTCGATAAAGTGCATTCCATAATAATCATATTTTGCAAGATCTTTTCTTATTTTATATGAAACAGAGTGCAAAGCTAAGGGCATGCTTATTTATGAAATAATTCATTTCCCACTCAAAATCTAACTCAACTTTAACTCAATCCCACTATCATTTATATTATTTATATAATTAAATATTATAAACCAATTATTCTTACATATCACATCAACTTTAATTCACTATTCATCCACTCACATAATTTTAACTACCTATCATTTCCAATCATTTATATCCTATTTTTACATCAAATCATTAATAATCATTTCCAATCATTTATATCCCACTAATAATTAACCATACTAGCTTTTTCAAAATTAACTCTAGTTAACTAAAATAACTCATTTTGAATGAAATATTTCATAAACAAGCACGCCCTAAATTTCCGGTTTTCTCATTTTCAATTAGGCAAATATTGAAATCTTGAAATACAGAGTGAAAAAATATTGAAATTAATAAATGAAACAAAATGGCTACACTAAGATGGTACTAACTTTCTTCACTCCCAAAATGACTAGTTAATGAGAATTAGGAAACACAAATCAGGTAAATATAGGAAAGATGAATAAAAATTCATTTGAAAATGCTCGAGAATTTACTTCTTTTGTTTTCATAATTAAATTGCTCATGATCAATTAATGAACATGCTTGAGAATAATAATGTCGGTCAATCCGTACACCTCTCTTCCACAAATGGGAACGTGTACGAAGCTAATTGAGGTGGGAATCAACTTTCATTAATTATCAGCAAATTACAATGTAAATTTGTCTGGTTATAAACGCTTTAATTTGTGCTGCTCCTAGGTGGCTAACAGCGTCATGTTTTTTATTTTTTATTTTTTTTTATTTTTGTTTTTTTAATAGGCTCTCCATATTATTCTTATTAATACGAATCCCGTGTGATGGACAAGAGATATTTATTAATATTTATAAATTAAAAATGATCATTAAATAATATTTGTAAATTAAAAATATAGAATTAATATATAATACAATTTATCTACATTAATTTACTAAAAAAGTTATAGGAAATTTAAATTTTACAAAATTACTTAAAACATTTCTATTTAAAATAGTACACAACCCGCACAGCGCACGTAACTGATAATAAATTACATTATATTCACTTCAAAATAAGTGTCATTTTAAAATTTTTATTCAGAATTTCGATTTGACTATAATGTGATTTCATAAAATAATTATTTTGGTAAAATTTTATCATATATTTAAAAATCTATGTGAATAATAAGTTTAATTATAAAACTTATATTGTTTCATTAATTAAAATAAATTTATTTTTGTATAACTATCAAAATAAAAAATATTAAGTAGTTGAGTAATTTATTAAACTCTAAATAATTAGCTATTCCATTTACGTCAAAGTTCATCTTAACCCCTAATGTATGAATAATTACTTATTTGGCTATTAAATTTGGAACTCAAATTTTGACAACTCAATAAATTCTTTTATATATTTTAAATTTATATATATATATATTATCTCACAATTTTCTAGATTTGTTGTCGGTTACCTTATTTTTTAAATTTATCAACTAATTTATAATTAAATTACAAATTTTAAATTTTATTAACCAATATTTACTCAAAGATCTTTCTGATTTTCACGAAGAATGCATATCATTGAATTATCATCAATATCTTATGGAAAGTTAGTATGGGAATAATATGCTAAAATTTGAGAATCATATCATTGATTTTATAACAAATCAACCTAAAATTCTACTTTCATACTCATACCAAATAAAATTCATACCACTAATTTTATTTTCAAAATTTCCAATACACTTCTATACCTCTATTGTTTAGGGAAAAAAAAAATACACTTCTATCTATAACAAATAAAACTCATACCATTCAAATTTGGACATTTCACTCCCACCGACTCTCTTGCCTATTCAGGTCCAAAACAGGTAACCCTCTTTGAATCCCAAGATTAACTACTACTGCGTATGTCATTAATAATAAAATGAGATACTATAAAAAGTCAAGATGAAAATAGAATCAATTTCTCCTCTCTTCAAAAAAATCCCCTTTACCAACAGGGGTTGGCTCAAGTGATAAGAAACTTGATGTCGCTTAAGAAAGGTCTCGGGTTCAAGTTCTTGTGGATGCAGAAAACCCTTGTTGGGAGACTCACCCACCACTGCCAGGTGTGCGACCCAGGTCGACCAACAGATTAGTCGGGGCATAACTCCGGATACTGTGGCTGGCTACCAAAAAAAAATCCCCTTTCTTCAAAAAATCCTCAATTTCCCCTTCTTTTGCCCTAAGTCGTGTGCGCACTATTTCGCTCTTTTCCGGCGGGTCGTCGGGCTCTTCGACGGCAGCTGGCCCCTGGCTGTGCGACTCAACCCCTTTGGCGTCAAAGTCTGTCTTCTCGAGCTGGGGTGGACGACTGGCTTCGAGAGGATCTCGCCGCGGCTCCTCCGAATCCCAAACCCTTTGCATCAAATCCGTTCCTGACCCGACACAACCTTGAAATCGGCCCGTCCTCTTACGCCGATGCCAATCGCGACTTGTGCCTCAAATCGATCCAACGCCAGATCGAATCAGCCAAATTACTGAAAGGGTGCCTCAAGGACGAGTTGAAGAGCTGCGAGCTCCGGCGGTGGCAAGAGAAGGCGAAGAGGATCATCCAATCGGTTCCGACGGCCACCTCTCAGGCCGTGGAGAGTGTAGATCGGAACGACGCCGTCGTGTATCCGCCGCAAGTCCCTACAGTCGCGGGATGAGGTGAAGAGGGTCATCCAATCGCTTTCGATGGTTAAGTTTTTGGTCATGGAGAGTATTCCCATAGATCCGAACTACGCCGTCAGGTTCCTCAACAAACAGTCGGCGCAAAGAAAAATTAAGAAGACAAATTTCGTTACTTGCAGTGAATTTGTTGCGAGTTGCGAGAGATCCGTGACTGCGAAAAAGCTTTGTGACAAACATGTTTTTTTTAGATGAAAATTTGGATTTAATTAACCATTTGTTAGGTACGCCTTAATTAATATTACTAGTAATCAACTTGTGTATTTGCACATAGAAGAATACTTTAAAAAGATAACAATATAAAAAAAACAAAAATAAATACAAATTTAATTCATGAAAAAAAATATAAATTAAAAAAATAATTCTCAAAATTGATTTTGATCAAGTAATTGATATGGAAGAGTCATTACAACAATTTTCTTTATCCTAATACACCCGACTATTTTCATGAGTGGGTATGAATTAAAATTTGAGTACAGTTTTGTAACTCCCTTAATTGGTTTATGCTCATAATTTATGGCATCCAAACAAGTTATTTTGTAACTTAAAAATGAAATTGAATGTTGAAAATTTTGGAGGGAGAATAAAATTTAATGTTTGATAATATAATTTAATATTTTGTTGCTTCTCTTTATATATATATATAGATATAGATATAGATTTTGTTCCTTCCTTCTGTTTAATCCTTTTTTTTCTTTTTTGTTTATCAGTAAAACATATTCTTCGTATTTATATAAAAATGGTACTTACAAGCAATCATGATATTTGGGAATTGTAACCGAATTTAATGAATTTGGAAATAAGATTTCTCAACATGCTTTAATCTACGGTCTTTAATATAGACAAATAAATTTATATTAGTTAATACTGATCGGTTTATTTATTTATTTATTTATTAATTATTAAACAATTCAATAAATCTAAAAGTATTAATTTAACTTTAGTTTATATTAGTTTTAGATTAAAAAACAATCAGAACTTGAAAGATAAAATCTACAAGATCCAAAGATTTAAAATTATAATAAATTTTATATATAAAAAAAATTGATTATTTTTAAAATAGTAATTTCTTCCCACGAAAAAAAAAAAACAAAAGAAAAAAACAAANTGTTTTTTTTTTTTTTTTTTTTGTTGAAAATTTGCTATGAGATTAATCAATATACGGCATACTTTTTCTCTGAAATATGCAGATATTTATATTGGTTCCTTTGTGTGGGTCTCAATTTTTATTTTATTTTTTTTGTATGAAATTATCATAATGAAATTACGGTAATTCCGACAAAATAGTATGAACAAATATTTTGATATAATGTGCATATCTCGATGTTTTTTTTTATAGAAAATGTGTCTGGTCAATTTTTATTTGTATAATCAGTGGGTCCCGATTTAATTCATTTTTTGTTACAATATTTTAATTAATTTTTGTGTGAAATGCACTGTTCATATTTTTTATCATAATAAAGAGTGTCAGTTTTATTGGTATAAAATATTTGAACAATATTATGACCGATTATTTTAGAATAAATGCGTGTTTCCATTTTTCTTAAGCTTTCCATTCAATATTTTTTGTATGAAAAATCAGAAGAATAGTATGACCGATATTTGTTGGTATAAATAATTGGAGTGAAGTCAAAATTCCAATGAGATTTTATAAAAATGACATTATATATCATATTAATCATTCTTTAATAAAAAACTTTTACAATTTCCTTTCACAATGGCCAAATTGATGAAACAACAAAAAAATACGGGAGATATACATAACAAAAAAAAAATCGATATTGTCGATTGGATTCAATATACCAGATATAATCAAATTATTAATTGATTAGCGAATAACTAAAATATAATTATAAAAAAAAACTCAAAATCAAATATTACATAACCACATTGCAAATCACTAATTGATTAATTTGCAATATATAAATAAACAAATATGAAAAATATATAATAGGATCAGATTAACCAAAAAAACGTGTGAATTACATGGAGTAAATGTTTATCACTACAAAATAGAATAAGTGTTATTTGCACAAGTTTAAAAATTGACATGAATCAGAGGCAATTTATTGTGTTTGTTAAAATATTTTCATATCAAATATTTATAAAATTGATCTATACTTTGTTCTTCTTCCGCTATAAATTCAATGTAGATCGATGTTGTCTACTCATCCTGCTTTCGATTTAATTCTTTTTAATTACACAAATACACGATTTATACTTCTTTCATTCAATTCAACATGAGGTGTGAATTCTGTCTGATCAAGGATGTCACTAGAACTAAAGAGCTACATATGATATTGCGTATGATTCGAATAATTGAACACAAGTTTGACGCTGAATACAATATTTACTTGGAAATCCTATTTCACGATAAGGACTTCTGACAGATCCTCTCGGTTATTTCAAAAGGGAGCCGTTACGATATTGTTAATGTTGCAATTAATTCGTCCAACGTATGGGCTGATTGTACTGTATTGAAACTTAAAAAAAATATTCGCCTTCAAAGGATTAGTGATTCGGATGAATGCGATGGGTTGACAATTTTTGCTAATTAGATAGCGAATATCGACGATGGAACTATTGGGGGATCCATTGATGGATGTGCCTTGATAGACATACCTAATGATATATTGTTAAAGCTCACTGATGATCTTATCGCTGCAACTGTTGAGAACACCTATTCAATATTTAAAGATGCAGACGATGAACCCAGTTATTTGAAGGATAAGGCTATACCAGCGCCAACGTTGGAGGTGGTTGAGACTATGAATGAGTACTATTAGATGTTCTAGAGTGCTGAACTGAATCTTAAGATCGGAACCACAATCATATTGTTGCGGAACATTGACCATTTTATTGGGTTGTGCAATGGTATGAGATTGGTTATTACAAAACTCTCCACTATGTGTCTGAACGTATGGTATTTCTACGTAAACATATCTTATTTTGTACCTAAAACCGCTGATGTCTTTACTTTCATAATGGGAATGGGAACTGCAGGGTCTATTCATTTTGTTGGCACCTTCATCTAATTAGACTTCGTTCCCTGACTGGATCTAATGCAGAAGAGAAGGTGTTGATCCCTCGGATGACTATAACACCTTCATACGTTAGAGCACCTTTCAAATTTCAGCAGAAGCAGTTTCTCCTAATGGTTTCTTATGCCACAACGAATAACAAGAGCCAGGGTCAGTTTTTATCACATCTTGACATGTTCTTGAAGAAGTTGATCTTCATTCATGGTCAGTTGTATGTAGTTGTTTCCCTTGTTACTTATCGGAAGGACTTAAAAATATTAGTTTGCAGGGAGGACTATGAGCCTACAAGAGCCAAGGTCAGTCTTTATCACATCTTGACATGTTCTTGAAGAAGTCGGTGTTGAGTCACGGTCAGTTGTATGTAGTTGTTTCCCATGTCACTAATCCAAAGTCTTGAAAATATTAGTTTGCATGGAGAACTATGTGCCTACTAGGCAAAAAAAATTGTCTACAAGGAGGTTATTATTTTCTATTCTTTTTATTTAATTTTATTTATTTACGAATATAATAATAAGGTTTAGTAAATAGCCTTAAAATTTTTCACCCCGTGCATCGCACGGGATTCGTACTAGTTATGGAGGAGGCGGTGAACAATATAATTTTTAAAAAATCACACGTTCAATATAAATATGTACTTTCAAGCTTTGCTAGCAATTAGAGTTGTTTATTCTCAAGTTATGGAACACATTAATAGTTGACTCGAACATGAACAATATAAAAATACAAACAAAAAATAATAAAAGAAAAATATCATGTTCGAAATTTATATAAGCATACATCATATATTTTCACCACATTAAATTGCATATCTTAAGTGTTATGTATATTAAATTTATTCCTCGTATTGTATTAAGTTATATACAAGCATATTTATAGAAGATTTACAAGATCTAGTTATAATTTATAATAATTAGTACACGAATTAGTACAAATGAGTTAGGATAGAGTTGTGCAAATTTTTCTACTAAGTAATACTTTTCTTGGAATTCTCTATTTTTAGGTAAGATTGTTGATTATCAAAGCCTCAACTTATTTATTTAAATTGAGGACATATACAAAAGTATAATTTTATATATACTTAATAGCAAAAAAAGAAAATGTTGGGGGAGACAATAACCTCCCCCAACTAACACATAGATCCGCCTGTGCGTAGGGTAGTGTGTATTCTCCCGTATGAGAGTTTTTATTCTCCAGTTGTGGAGTTTCTGAGTTTAGCTCTGCGTGTTGTTTGTGGATGAGTTGTGTTCTATTTTAGTTCTAAGCGATCCTCGGATCTGTCCTTCCACCAGATTTAGTTCAAGAGCTGTCTTATTCAATTGTCGAATTATTTTCTAGCTGTAATTATATTTTCTATAAAATTTCTATCGTTCCGTCGTANGAAAAAAAAAAAAAAAAAAAAGAATTACATATCATTCTCGAGTCCGCTCGCGTACAACTGGCTAAGGAAACAAAGCCGAAGATGCCTACAGTTAAACCAAGTACGTGCAAGCTTACCAAATGAAATTCCATCAAAGATATGAGTTTGAATTTTAATGGGTTTTGCAGAATATCATATATCTCACTCAGTGATTTCAATAGAATACCATACTTCTACATATACCATAATATTAAAAAAGAAATGAGCGAGTTTTATCATTAACTATTAAAATATAAAAAAGAGTAGTAAATAAATAACTTTCATGAATACAAATAAAACATATTTTTCGTCTCGATCAGATGCGAAAGGCGAGGTAAGATTGGAGCAGAAATTTAATGATGTTTTTCATTTTCTTTTAAAAAAAATTTGTTTATATTTGGGTGTTCTTTATTTATCTCATGTCTTCACCAATTAATAAAAGTGTAATTGATATTAATTTTTTATATTAAATTGATAATTTCATATCTTTCATGTTTTAAATCGCTAACTTTATCTTTTAAATTTTGAATTAATAATTCACCCATCTTTCGAGACCAATGCATGTAGAAACTGAAATCATAAATTTACAACTTTAGATCTTTCATGTCTCAGAGTTGTTAAAATTTGTTTTTCATGACCGGAATGAAACTTGATTAATCTTTTGGAACACAAATTGATATNTATTTAGTTCATTTTAAAAGCATTGCATTTTACAGTATAAGAATACGATTATTCAGAAAGTATAACTACCGGGTCAAAATAAAGAATTGGATTTGAAAAAAATATATATACATATATACATACATATATATAGGCTATTCTTATACTCCCTCCATTTTGAAATATAAGGCATATAAAGATTTCTCAATTTTTTTGAAATATAAGGCGCGCTAAAAAATCAAGACAAATTTTTACATTTTTTTCCAAATATACCCTCATTGTGTTGAAATTAAGGAAGTGTGGAGTGGTTGTGATTAGAGTAAATAAGGTTAATTTAGTCAATTTATTCATTAATTAATGTCTCCTTAATATTTGTGCAATAACCTTAAATGCCTTATATTTCAAAATGGAGGGAGTAGTTAAATTTAGTTAACCCTTCCACGTATGTACAAATGGCATAAGCCAGGCACATTGAGTGTAGCCAATGACAACCATTTTCATACAGTAATTACAACATTTCTTTAATGACATAACAATTAACATTAATGCTTGGACATCAAACATCACTAGTACAACACACGTGTATTACACGGGTGCTTGTTAAAAAATTATTATTAAATTTTAAAATTAATGAAAAAATTATTTTAAAATTTCATTTATCTTTTTACAAAAAATATATATTATTATATATTTTAGAATGACATTTGTTACTTGTGTAACTTAACTATATTATATTATAGTAATTTTTACGACTTATATCGTATAACTACTTGAAATATAAATATATTAATTGATAAATAATATTATTTTTCTAATTAATATTAAAAAAATTATTATTGTTATAAAGATATATAATTTATTTTTTTATACATACAATATGAATGTTAAATCGAAGCACGTCAAAAGATGATTAATTTGATATATTATATATATAAAACTGATAAAAAATACAAAAGTTATTAATTTTTAAAATATATTTACAGTTCAATGGTTATAATAAGAAATGATATTAAGATGTAATTAATATACATAACATGACCATAAATAACCAACGTATTTATGGATAGTCCGAATATAATTATTTTTGGATTGAAAATAAATTAAAATCTACCCAAGCCTAATAACGAAGCATGTAATTTTGCCACATAGGATCTCGAAGCATGCGAGAGCTGCCAGTTAGGCTCAGCATGTTCTGAATTAATATATAGGGGGGATTTTACCAAACACAGCTAAAAAGTCCAAACTCTGGAGCATTGTACAAACTCATACCCTTCAAGCCTGTTGTCCCAAATAGTCCTTAAAGTCGTGCATATTCGACACAGGCTTCAGATGGGAATTTAAATGAGTATTCAGACTGATAAATACTTCCATGCTGCAAATGACATCAGCATCCTACTCCATCAAACGAACTCAACGACCTGATTATGTGCTCGTAAACCTTAATCCCCTCTAAGTAAACACTAGCCGGTAAAAACTGTCAAGAAAAAAAAAAAAAGTAGAATCATTTTCTTCATCAGCGCCAATTTTATTGAAAACACCCATCATATTTAGCCGAAATCCAAAAGGCTTCACAATCTATTTTCATTGTTCAACTCTTTGACAAACAGGAATTCCATAATAAAAAAACAGCAAGTAAATATACCTCATTATGGTCATGAAGCAGTATTGGAGTCTTCTTCATAGGTGAAAAGCCAAGGGTGGGAATTCCCATCTGCCTCATGAATCGAGCATCGGTAGTTGAAGACAAAATCTCAGGCTTTGCAAGCTTCCCACCAGCTGCCTCAACAGCTTGTTTGAATACAGACCACCATGGATTAGAATCATTAGTTGCGGTCAACAAAGGGCGTCCATTTTTGTCTCTTAGAGGCCCTTTTTCAGTTAACTTCCATAACAAAAGAGTGCAGGAAAAAAAAAAAAAAAATCAAACCATGCACTAGATCAAAATTAAAGTATGCATCAACTTCAAAAGATTCTCTATATGATATATTTAATTTCAGCAAACGATACACGGTGCTGAGTAATATATTTGACAGACACCACTATGAATTACAAACGTGCTTCAAAACAGTCTGTAGGTTGAGCTTATTTCGACTTAGCAAATAAAATATCGACTCAAAATACTCTTTTTGTCATCACTCTTAACCCTTACCAAGAACATTCACATTAGAATCAAATGATAGACTCATGATCTTATATCTACATGAAAGAAATTACTCTGCACACCAAAACGATTGTTCTGATGTGTCGATATCATTCTCAACACAAGTTCACTAAATATTCACCTTATAAGTCATGTTCCTCCATGTCGGGGCCCATTCCTCAATAATCCTTCTTCTCATGAGCTCGGGCTCGACCGTTGGTGGCAGCCGAACATCAAAGCCAGCCTCCACTTCAGATGGTTGCATATTCATTGCAAACCCCTACACCAATCAAACCATTTTAAGTTACGACGTGTTTGCCAAAATACTTCTGCTTTAACCAGTTAATACTTTACTGTCATCTGTTTGCTTATAGATGCTAAAGGTTGATCGGTGTAAAAGAACATGTTTGGCAGATAAACCTTAGAGGTGATTGAATCTATGGGAGTATCAGAATTAAGAAAAATAGCTCATGCATTTGGAAACAGTCAAACACTAGAAGCTACTCCTTTTAATTAGCTTAAAGCTAACATTCACTGTTTACCCAAATTTGTTTCCAAACATTCTATTAGACAAACACAACATCAATCACAGGAAAAAGCTGCATGAACTACACAATCAATAAAGACTCACAGAAGCTGATGGAATTCCAGCTTTCATGAAAACCGGGTTAACTGAGATAACCTCCGAATTCATAGCCAGGCCTGCTTTAACCATATCAAAATTATTCTCCCTAAACTTCATAATAACCTCCACACTCTTCATTAAATTCTCCATGGCACTATTATCATACATTCTTGATCCATGCCCGGGCATTCCAGTCGCCTTGATCACCAAATGCCACGGAGTGCGATCCGCGAAAAACACCCTAAACTCATCATTCACAGAGGTTTGCCCTTCATCCAACACAAACCCTAGATTCAGTTCCCTAAACTCTCTACTCTCAACAAATTTCGTCATCCCATCAAATCCCCCAATTTCCTCATCAGGCACGTACGAGATATGAACTGTTCTCAGAGGGGTATAATCGGGATCGGAATGTTTTAGCTCTTTAATGGCTTCCAAATACTGCATACCTATGCATTTGTCGTCCTGAGCGCCACGGGCGTAGATCTTGCCGTCCTCGGATAATTCGGCGACGAAGGGGTTGTGAAGCCACTTGGACGGCTCGGCGGGGACCGAATCGAGGTGTGAATTGAACAGAACTGCAGGGAGGGTAGGGTTTGAGCCGGCCCAGGTGACGAGGAGGAGGGGCTTGTCCGGTGTGGTGAGGTAGAGGATTCGGGTTTGGAGGCAGGGGATGGTGGCGGCGAATTCGGAGAGGTAGTCGACGGCGGCGGCGTAGTTTGGGGTTGGGTGGGCGGTGTTGATTCGCAGGTAGTTTCGGAATCGGGAAATTGGGTCGGAGTTTTGGTGATCTTGATGTTGAATTGGGGCCGAGGAGAGGGGTTGTGAGAGAGGGAGAGAGAAGAAGAGGAGGAGGATGATGGCGGAGATGGGATTCAGGTGGCGGGGCTCCGACATGTCTGATTGAACTGGGAGTAGACTCAGTAGAGAGAGTGAGATATGCACACTCACTGTAAATGGAAGCGAAATTGTACGTAACAGTGATAATATTCCTGTTAAATATTATTTCATAACATTTTTTGTAAAATGAAAATTTATTTATAAAATTATTTATTTACAATATATTGCATATTCTACTGTCTTTTAAATTATTATTTTTTTTATTTTTTTTTTATAAACAAAAAAGGTCATGTATGTCACAACTGCTCTACGTTCTAGTAAAATATAAAAATATATTAAGATTATTGTAAAATTTAGCATGAGCTATGTAATCTATATATATATATATAGAGAGATTTGATTATTTTTTAAATAGTAACTATTTTCTTCTAAAAAAATTTATTTACTATTTTGGGAAATTAATTTAGTAATTTATGATACATTTTAAAATTCACTTATGGAAATTGCGGCTCATTATTTAAGAAAATAATTAAGTCATATAAAAATATATTTTTAAGATACCTTAATTACTCAAATTAGTTTAAGAATTTATGGCATATTTTAAATAATCACTTATGGTAAATTCATTTTTAAGATACCTTAATTACTCAAATCATGTGAATTGACTGATTTGCCCAAATATGGGAATTTCGGCTGCAATATTAATTATGTGATTTAGTAAAAATTTTCCAACTAAATTGTATAATTTATTATTTTATAAGTGTTTTATATTTTTCTTGTAATTCTTTTGTAAAATACATTTTTAATATACCTTAATTACGCAAATTGTGTAAATCCGACTGATTTATTCAATCTGTAAATAATTACTACAATTATAGAAATATCGACAACATTAATTAATTATGCAATTTGTAAGAAACTGTTCTAAAAAAATTGTGTTAATGAAAATTTTTGTTTAAATATTATTTAATAAATGTTATTCATTTTTGTGTATTTAATTGCTCAAATCGTGGATAATTAAGGAAATATTTTGATCGTAAAAATTTACATTTTTAAGATACCCTAATTACGCAGATCGTGTAAATTCGGTTGATTTATTTAATTATAATTTCTTGTAAAACTATTCTAAAATAATTGTGTTATTGGTAGTTTCTATTTAATTATTTTTTAATAACTTTTTTTTGGTTATTTTTATATTTTATCTATAATAAATGTGTTGTACGTTGTGCAATTAATTTTGTGGTTCAAATGAATATCATTTTCTTTATCAATAAAGTATGAAATCGAACTATTTAGTATATTCCATATTGATCCAATATATCCGCTTATAGTAATAAATGGTATCTAAATATTTTTTTTTTAGATAATATTATAGTCGATTTTTCTTTGTATATGTGCGTGGAACATATCAAATTATTCGGTGTGTGTGTGTGTGTGTAAAGGTTTGTTTTTACTTAAATCATATTGTAGTCAAATCGAATTTCTGAATAAAATTTTTAAAATGACATCTATTTTGAAATGAATATAATGTTACTTATTATAAGTTATTTGCACCGTACGGGTCGTATACTAATTTTAATATAGACATGTTTTATATAATTTTGCACAATTTAAATTTCATATAACATTTTAAACAAATTAATATAGGTAAATTGCATTATATATTGATTCCATATTTTTAATTTATAAATATTTTTATTGATCATTTATAATTTATGAATATTAATAAATATTTTTTACCCGTGAATCGTACAGGATTGTTGATATGTAAATATGAATTGAATATAATTAATATATTAAAACTCATATTTCTGACAATTTTGACTATAATAATAATTAAAAGGCTTTAACTACTCTAGTAAAGTTATTGAAAACCAGTAAATAAAAAATGCTTGTTTTAGTCTCTAGACTCTATCTACTGGTCCGAAGCCCAAAACACTTTTTCATTGTTTTCATATGATTGTTAGACAGGCCCAAATAAATTCTAAGCCCTATGCCACTTTTATTTTCATCTTGTCTTGGTGGGCTTGGGTTTTTCGATCCTTGACTGATTTCAATTTAATTCATGAAAGCCTATTGAAATTGCTTTATTCAATCAAATATTGATCATAATCGTGGGAATATTCATATTTCTCAACTAAAAAAAAGGGGGTAAANAAAGGAAAAAAAAAAAAAAGTGCCATAATTCTCTAAGCTCATAGGTGAACTTTTGGGATATCACAAGTGTTGAAGCCAATTGAGGTCCGTTTGCACATAACTAATTAAATTTAATGGAAAATGCTATAGGTACATAATATTGTATATAAGGGTGTACATAACACTCACATTGTGTGGGACCTATCAAAAATTAAATGTGTACATAATACTCATATTAAGTGGATCCTACAAAAAATAAAAAAATTAAGTAGATCTCACTCCATGTGAGTGTTATGTACACCTCTATGTACATATATTATGTACTTGTAGCATTTTTCAAATAAAAAATCAAATGTATCTCACTCCATGTGAGTGTTATGTACACCTCTATGTACATTTATTATGTACATATAGCATTTTTCTTAAAAAATATGACAACAATGACAATGATATTAATAATGGTAATAACAACGACAACCACATGTAATTATAATATTAATAATAATAATACAGATCATGAAATAAGCAGCAACTCGAAAATGAGAGCTAGAAATGTGGCATGTTGGCCTTATATATATATATTTGTTTAATTTATAATGGGTTAACTAAGTGATTTCATGCTCATCACACTTTGTCCCAATTATTTATTATTTATAACACTCACAATTAAAGAAATGAAAATTCACCCTAGAATTACATTTGGAATTGTTTATGAGTTTATAAGTATAACATCTTAGTGTAAAACGTTGAGTACAAGCTTAAAAACAAAACTGTGAGAAATATATATATAAGGCCAACATTGGTATTTTTGAGTTAACCCAAAGCATTGGAGAATATATAAGACCAACATTGGTATTCTCCAATACAAATAAAAGTTTAAAAACGTTGAATAAAACTCTAATTCTTTTTCTTTTGAGTGAAAATGCCCTCTTATTTTCATAAGAGAATTAGTATTTTTTTTTTTTTTTACTCTTTTTAGATTCATTACGATAAATTTGAAGCACGTCCACCACATGAAGCCACATCTGCGGTCCAATCTAAGATCGATGTTTTTTTCTGTTATTTCATTTATATTTTTTCGAAGGACACGAATTGGACACAAATAAGTCATCATATATATTAGCCACTAGCTCTCAAACTTGTTGATTTTGGTAGAATTTTCGCCACTTGGAACTAAAGGTTCAGTTGGCAGTACAATCATATGGCATTAATTAGAGCATTTTCAATGTATTGGAGCTAGTCTTGTTTACGTGACAAGTAAATAAACTCAAGTTTTAGATGACATGGATAAAACTATGTAAAATTAACAAAATCAACTCCAATGCAAAGAGACTAGGTCTCTACTTGGGTCTAAAATAGACTTAATGGGAGACTGAGTCTCTTTTTCTGGCTGCCACATCAGCAAGACCCAGTCTACTTCTATTTGCATTGGAGAATATATTTTTTTAGACTGAGTCTATTTTTTATGTGGCATGTAATTTTTTTAGGATTAAACATCAAATCCTATGGATTGGTAAAATCATGTCGGCCCAATGCTCCTTTTCTTGATGCATTAATGATTCTTTTAAGTTCCTTTATTGAGTTCATATTTCACTAATGAATTACTAGGATTAAATTGCTCGCCTTTTTCCTAAGTACATGATGGGAAAATGAGGAAATGTGAATCGAGCTCAACCACAATCTCCTGATTTACAAATGCTTTTATTATTCATAACACGTCTATAATTTTAATGGAATGTGATTAATATATTGTGACAGAGAATCGTAAAAATTGAAATGACCTTAATGTTGCACTATTGTTGGTTTGGAATGATACTTTATCAATTACCTTGTCATATAATGTCGTCTACAATTTCAAACCAAATTGATATAGTATGTACAGCTCGGCTATACAACGGAGCTCTCCTAGCTCAACCTAAGTTGGGACTTGATATAAACATAATAAACTTGACATTCTTGGGAGAACAAGATATTCTCAGTCAGCAAGATGAGACATTCTTGGGCACCAAAATGAGACTTTCTTGGCCAACAAGACATTTGTTGATGTTGATATGGCTCATATATTGACAAAGGAAAGAGGCAGGCCGATGCCTGCGAGCGGAGGGGAGCCCCCGCAGTACGGTACGGGGTATTTATGTAAATTTATACCTTGTAAGGTTATGATATAAATACATTGTGTATTGATGTATTTGGGACAACGAGTGAATAATAAGATCTCTGCTCCGCCGTGGACGTAGGCATATTGCCGAACCACGTAAATCTTGTGTCATTTACTTTCTCGTCTTTAATTCGTATTGTCCTCGTTTTCACAGCAGTTGACGATCGATTTTGCCAAGATTACGAAGTGGTAATATGTTAAATAAAAGGTATTATATGGCTTTTGAATGGGGAACAAGACATTAAGATAATAAGATAGTCGACAAATTAAGTGCTTGCGTTAATGCGTTTGCACTGAGATTTATTGATAAACTTGGATCATTTTATGATATTTTATTACTTATGCCTGAAAAACTGATATATCCGATGGTTTTCAAGTAGAATTCGGTGCCCTCTTCTGTTGTCGTGGCATGGTTATTTATATACAAATAGGTAGAAATGTCTCGAGACACATTGGGCGGGTCCATTGCATGCAAGGCGAGACGCGTCGGAACACTCATCTAATTGACCAGCTTAATGGTCGATGGGATGGTATCGATGTATATACTTAGTCCCTTAAGATCTTGGTGACATAACCTCGTCGACCACATCATTATTTTTTAATGGAGTAATCCAGATCGATATATTTTTATATATTACAGAAGGTCTCTCGGTTTCTCTGACCTGACGACACATAGCGGTCATAAGAAGTTGTTCGATTTGATCTTTACCAATCTAGTGATGAGCCTTTAATCAAGAAGTTGGATAACGATATTAGTCGCCTAATAGTGTGGACAAAGGTATTAAATGTTTAACCCAGGATTGCATAAAAGTCTTTTATTAAA